ATCTCCATACTATTAAAGAAAACAAAAAACACATAATAACCTGTAAAGTTCACACAAAGAGTCCTGAAATCTACACCAATGTTGTTCGGCTACTGTTGTTTTCTTTGTAATCTTCAAACTGCAAATCAATAGTAAAATTTCAACAAATAAATATAATGTATGAAGGCTATTCATGTGAAATTATATAATATTTAAAAATTATATAAGAAGTACTTCAAACTCCAAATCTATTTCAAAGCACAAATTTTTGTAAGAATCTCTCTAAAGAACTTCAAGTAATATACTCGCCTCAAGAACATACGAAAGAGTTTTGAAGAAAATACTAAAATTTTCGATTGTTTGAAATTTATATTGATAAAAAGAGGTGCAATTTTTGGAATGGAAGAAGGATGCAATAAAATCAGAATTAAAAGGCGGGAAGTGTCGAAAAATTTACCTCCAATTTGTTTTTCCTCCGTATATGAAAAAAAATCCATATTTATCGGTTGAAATCTGCAATTTTCCATATTTTTTTATGACTTTAATTTGTGGAGAGAAAATTGTAAAATTGAAAAGACTTGACCAATTTTAACAAAGATGGGACTGAGTTTGAGAAAAGGACTCAAATTGAGAGGACCCAACATCTAAATTTGTTGGATCTAGCTCTCTCTCATATGGGTCTTGTGTAGGGATTTTTCCATTTGATTGGTTTTGCACTTCTCCTCTTTCAAAAGTCAAATGGGTCTAGTGTAGGGATTTTACTATTTGAGAATAAATATTTTATAAATGTAATTCTTGAACAGATTTCAGGCATAAAAAAAAGATGTGACCTTTGGCATCCTATTTTTTAATTTTAGTTCATTATTTTAATTGCTTTTACAAGATTATTCATTTTATTCTGCTCTCTTCTTCATTTTTACTCCTTTACTATTTTTAAAAAATAATAATTTTTATTTTCACTTATGACATATAAAAAATTTTATTATTATTTTCCTATTTTTATCCTTAATATTAATTCATTATTTTTCGAAATAATTTTAGAAGATCTAAGACTACACATAAACTAATGTGGATATTGTAATATACCTTTCACTTTCTAGTTATAGTCATTATGCCAATGAACTTGTCCGCGCTTCGCACAGTTATATGAAAGACGATAAGATGTCAATTTCTATTTATCAAAACATATGATTGATTTCATAAAGAGAAACGTTTGGTTAGTAGTTAGCTAGCTTCCAACAAAAGCATAAGTTAGTATATTATTGAATAAAAATACATAAACTTACGACAATAAAAAAATTATATAAAATACAAAATATAGAGAAATCATAAAGAGAACTACAAAAAATAAATAAATAATGCAATATCATTCTTACGATCTTAATCATTAGAAAATAGAAAAAAATACATAATCAATATACAATCTTCCGATTGAGCTCTTGTCGAGATCCATTCCCACAAGCCAATCACATTCAATAAACTTCATTTATTCTTCAAGTAAAACTAAAGAATGCATAAAATAAGTAAGAAAAACATATCAATTCAAAAGACTAATGTGATCATTTCTAGTTTTCTACAAAGTTTTACAATTTATAGGACTAGCTATAATATGAATACCAAATAATGTCATGAATATGACTATTAATTATTTAGGGATTAATGTAATAAAAATTCATGGGAGTAATGAAACTAAAGACCATTAAATTTTGATTTAAATTGAAGAACATGAATGAATGGTTAATTGACATTTTTATTATTCTACAAATTAAAAAAAAATAGAGCAGTTGGTGAAATTGTAAGAAAATAATAATATGAGAATAAGTAGAATTCTTAGCCAAAGATTATAATAAAGATGAAAAACTCAAGAGACTCAAGACATTATTGTGTAGATTTAAGTGTTATTTAAAGCTTATAATGAAAATTTGTAATTGAAATTTCATGGGGAAAAAAAAATATATAGACATTTTAAGGAAGTAAAAGGCCAAAAAAAATATATTTTAATACAATAAAATAAATTGTGTACTAAGAATATTAATTTAATATGCTCAAATAAATAAGTTAATGATTAGTGTTATTATATTATTATAAATTATAAATTATATTATATTATTAAGTGCATAATACATTTTGCTAGTAAAGAGAAATCACAAGAGAACTAAAATAAATAATAATCCAGCATCATTAATTCTTGTCGATGTTCACTTCCACAAGCCACAATCACCACCAAATAGTCTTCATTTTATTCTTCAAGTTAAACCAAAAAGATCAACATATTAAGAATTGAAAATATGACAATTGAAAATGCTATTCATGTACTCATTTCAACAAATTGTCTTACAATATATCTATTTATTATAGGATTCAGTAGCATATATATGCAAGATTTTTTTGTAAGCGGTATCGACATTTAAAAAAAAATATAACTACATTATATTAATAAAAATTACTTATTGAGACTTACTGATAAAACATAGATCAAATAAACTATTATAACTCGCCACAACAAGTTTTTATGAAATTAAGTTCATAAAAAAATTATGAATAAATTCAAGAAATTCCAACTAGAATGAAAAAAATCAAACATTAAAATGCACTTGATGAGGATCGAAGTCAGGAGATCCTGCACACATGCCATTGCCCCAACCAACAGGTAAAGATCGCTTATCTGTTCATTTGTTATGATTTATTTAATAGTAGTCATATTCCGTTTTTTCAGGTTATTTATACATCTAAATCACTTTTCTTTTATCTAGTATTATATATATATGATAATTTCAACTTTCAAGTTTGAAAAATAATTACTTAATGATAATACAATTGAAAAAAATATTTTAATTTGATATTGATAATTCAAAGTTTGAAAAAAAATTACTAAAATATATTTGGTACACTAGATCGAGTAAAAATATATGGAGGGATCCAATTAGATTAAAAAAAAATTCACACATACTATTATATCTCTTTTTCAAAAATATCAGAAATCCGACCCGATCTGCCCTCCTCGAACTTCTTGCTTCAATTTGAATACCCTCCCAAAATCACATATTAACTCACAGTGGATTGAATCCAAAAAATAAAAAATATAGCTTTATAAAGGGGAAATTAAATTAATAGAACAAATCATTCTCATAATTGAAATATGGAAGAGCTGGCCGTAGAGTGACTTGAGTTATATATACAGATAATTTATGTTGCTTCAATTGACATTACACGAGAGGTGAGGGCTCAATTGTCTGAAACATCTTTTGGGATCTTTCTACTTCTTTAGAATAAAAAGAAAAACTTAATTCTTCTTCTACAACGGATATTGTAATGAATGTTGAGTTACTATACGTTACCCCATAAGAATTAAACTTTAGTCCTTTTGATAAGAACGATGGTAAAAATGAGATACTTTTAATCATAATGTAAATTTCGTTCAAACATAATCTGGGGGCAAATTTGGTCGACCTTTATCTATATATATAATGATGAATAATTTTTTTGAAAATAATTAGATTTTAAAAATTAAGTGTAAATATCAGTAAGTAGCGACTAATAATAGGTTTTAACAATACTTTTCGTCATATGTCATAAAAATCAATGACATTTTTCAAGAAATGACATATTATATTCGATATTCGTATCAAATGTCACTATTTCAGTGACATTTTCACTATATGTCGCAAAAATCAATGACATTTTACAATAAATGTCATAATATATTCGGCATTTGTATTAAATGTCGCTATTTTAGCAATATTTTGCTAAGTGTCGCTATAAAAATGACAGTTTAGAACAAATGTCATTATTTTAATGACATTTTTCTAAACGTCACTAAAATCAATGACATTTTGCAACAAATGTCACAATATATTTGACATTTTGCAACAAATGTCACAATATATT